ATGCTGAATATCAGCAGTAGATGCACGCTGTCGGCGGCCGGCCGGGAGCTCGCTGCCCGGGCAAGGAGGCCCTGCTAGAAAACCCCGGGTGGCGAGAGGGCAACCCCAGGCAGCCCCCCCACCCCGATTTGCCTGGCTGTAGCCATGCCCCCGGAGCGGAGCTGCTCAGCGCGTCTGCGTGTGTGCGCGCACACGTGCATGTGCAATAGTGACAGCCTCCAGATTCACACATACCCCAGCGCTAACCCCCCGCCAAACGCAGGAGGGGTCCCCTATGTGCAAAGGGGGTCTCTGCTCCCCCCCGCCACCCTCGCTGTGCAAAGCACCCTGCGGCAGAGCGCTTCAACCCGTGGGGAAGCGTAGGCTGGAGCGGGGCTCTACACCACAGCTCTCCCCCTGTGCGCTGCACACCCACCCCAGGGTCCGCTGAGCACCCCCCACCCCGGCTCCTGCCTGGGAACCCCTCCGGCAAAGACCTGCTGGCGGCACAGCCCTGCGGCGCACAGCCCTACCGAGAGCTCCCATGGAGGATTCCTCTCTCTCACACGCTCTCTCCGTGTGAAACTTGGAGGGAAACTCAAAACAGAGAGAGATGCAAACTTCAGCAGCCGGAGCGAGGCAGGGAGCCCTGCTCTGGCGAGGCGCAGCAGGGTGGGTGCCCCCCTGCGCCGGCTGGGGTCCCCCGGGAAGCTGAGCACTCACCACAGTGAAATCACGGGAGGAGCAGTTCTCGCCGCTGAAGTTGCAGCTCTTGAGCATGTCGTCAAGCTGGTGGCCGGTGCGGTTGACAATGTCAGCCATGTCGGGGTCGGGGTAGAGCAGGTCCGTGGCCTTGTGGCCGTCCCGGTCCTTGGGGGGGAGCCCGGTCATGTTGGCCAAGTGGAAGATGTCGGCGTCGGTGAGCGCCGAGTGGCGGTAGCGGTTGATGTTGCAGATGGTGATGGCGGGGAAGACCATCTCGCGGATGGCCTCCTCGTCCAGGGCCATGACGTGGGGGTGCTCCAGGTAGAGCAGTGCCGACTTGGCTGCCTGGTAGAGGAAGAAGGCGAGCGAGGCCAGGAAGGCGAATGCCCAGAGGGTCTGGCGCACGCCCAGCCGCCCCGACCGGCAGATGTGGCC